TCTATTTGTTTATGTACCAGTACTTATTCTATTTTATAGGGATGCGCAATATTATTGGCATGATATCGGTATCGGCCAATATTAGCGATAAAGTTAAATATTGAACATCGGCCATTCCATCAAAATAACTCACTGATATAAAAGGCGCAGTTTTTAAAAAATATATATATACCCTGCAGCACCAGCACAACGTTGTGACATCACACGCACCATTGAGTTTAGAGTTGTGAAAATTTACGAGATTGCACTGTACGAGTTTGTCATTGTTAGAGAGAGTAAATGTCATGAATAAATTTGACATCAAACATAATCCAAATTGAAGTGTTACATCATTTTCAGCCCCACTATGTAGTCTCTGTAAGTAGGTCTAAGAAAAAATATCGGTAATGGTGTCGGTTATCGGCCAATAAGTTTTAACATATCGGCATATTGGATATCGGTCAAAACTCCAGTATCGTGCATCCCTATTATTTTAACTTCCTGCTGCTGGGGATTTCTTGTGATAAAAGTAGAAAAAAACAACCACAACAAAAATTAAACAAATAAAACAGGTCATGTGTACAGAGCATCATCATTATCATCGTACAGATGTGTGGAACTTGCATGTGTAACTAAACTTGTGGGTTTTTTTAAGGAGGCAGCGCTGCCGTAAGAGTGCTCTCAGCCTGCTGGCATCTCTCACAGTGAGACAGGCTGCGTCTGCTGTTTTAGTTCTTATAATTAAGCAATATTAACGCTAAAAGATGAATATTTATGACCCAGATTATAGCCAAGACATGTCTCTATTTAATTTTAATTTTTACTCCAAATTCACAAAGTTCTTTGTAAGAGAGTCGGTTTCAGGTGTTTGTATTTTATCATAAATATTTGATAAATTCAGTCCTATATGTTATTTTAACGGGCAGCACGGTGGCGCAACTGGTAGAGCTGCTGCCTCTCAGCAAGCAGGTCCTTGGTTCAAACCCCGGTCCAGGGGCCTCTCTGGGTGGAGTTTGCATGTTCTCTCCGTGCATGCGTGGGTTTTCTCCGGGTACTCCGGTTTCCTCCCACAGACCAAAATTATGCATGTTAGGCTGATTGGTAACTCTAAATTGTCCCTAGTTGTGAGTGAGAGAATGAATGGTTGTTTGTGTCATTTGTCTCTATGTGGCCCTGTGATGGACTTGCGACCCGTCCAGGGTGTACCCCGCCCCTCGCACAGTGATTGCTGGACATGGGCACCAGCGACCCCCGTGACCCAAAATGGAATAAACGGATAAAGATAATGGATGGATGGATGTTATTTTAACAACAAGGTGTCGTGGCTGTCTGGATGAGCTCAACTTGATCATATTTATCACCTTACTGAGAGGTAGCTGTACTGAGAAGTAGCTGTACTGAGAGGTAGCTGTACTGAGAAGTAGCTGTACTGAGAGGTAGCTGTACTGAGAAGTCGCTGTACTGAGTGGTAGCTGTACTGAGAGGTAGCTGTACTGAGAGGTCGCTGTACTGAGAGGTCGCTGTACTGAGAGGTAGCTGTACTGAGAGGTCGCTGTACTGAGAGGTAGCTGTACTGAGAGGTTGCTGTACTGAGAGGT